TGCACCGCAGTTTGGTATCAGTCCGCTGAGTACATTTTAGCCCACAAAAGCTACCAAAACCTCTGCGACTTTGCTAGAGCACCAGAGTCCATTCAAGTTAATGGTACTCATAGCGAGCAAAATTTTGGTCGGTATGCATTTTACAATCCTAACTTCCGGTGCACATCAAATAACTCTGCCACAACCAACTACTGGTTTGGTTCACAAGTTTGAACTTTTTCTCATTGCTCTGACGAGAAAAAAATTTTTCAATAAACCAGCTTGCTGATCATTGCATTTTAAAAAAGCACTGTGACATTAGTGATGTAAAAGACTTTGTTTTTATGTCTTGTTGTTGTTGTTTTTCTATGCTTGTTGATATAATGATTAAAAATCAGAGTAAGTAGATTTCATAAGTTATGCAAAGTACTGCAAAAAATTTTTTAATGTAATTTACGAAATTCATATTATCAGAAGTAACGTTATTTGAGGTCTAATGTAACTAGTTGTATTAATAGTAACGCAAGGTAATCAGTAGGATTGTAGGTAAGGTAACGAACTCATTAGCATTGCCTTGTGTCGTAGATAGTATGAGTTTTGTATTTTTAGCTTTGAAAATATTGGTTCTCTCGTTGGTATATTCATAACAATAAAAATTTAAAAATTTGACGAAAGAAATATTTTATTAGGCCCAAGATAAGCTGCATAGCTTTGCACACTTGTCCTTTTTGTTTGTTGAATATTGTGTTTTGATTGGATATCATTTCCCACGTGACAATTTTTCAAAAGCATGAATCAGAAAATTGTCAGAAATGAACAAGTAAACAGATGAAAAAGAACAGTTAATAAGATACAATATGCACTAACTTGCGGTATAAGGGACTAGAGCAAAAAAATATGGCAAAAATAATGTCACTAAATCAAAAAAAGTGTTAAAAAAACATCATTAACTAAGTGGAGTAATGCTTCTCAAAGCTGATCTCAGTACAATTTTGGCAATTGCAAAAATGAAGCATGAAAAATCTTCAGGCTTTGACGGCATTCGAACCCATGCCTCCTGTATACATTACTTTGGTGGTTCTTTACTTGATTTTCAATCCGCAGCTCAATTCTAGTTTAGTACAAAGTGTATGAAAATCATTGATGTGACAATCCGTTACCGTAGGACGAAATGTCTTGGAGTTTAAAATTCGATCAGTATGCCAGGATGAAAGTGAGGTATGCACAGAATAAGTTGTACAACTGTTATCGTCCGATCTATGACACAATTTTCAAGTATAACCTTTCTACCTCTTCCTTAACCGGACGAAGTGATTTGAAAATGAATATAATAAACTGAGTAATCAGTCAGTAAAAAGTTAACCAAAGAAGTGACTAACATTGATAATTCGGTTTTATCGATTGAGTTGATAATGTAAATTAGCCACCGCAGAGATATTCTGAGACTGACGGAGTGACTGACAAATTAAATAGAATGAACAACCCCACTTACCCGGGGTTTCCCACCTCCATGTAAACAGGCCCTAAATATAGTAGCTTATAGATTGCCTAAAGGGATTATCTACTCCTAGGACATGCAAAACATGGCAGACACTAACACCCATAAAAATGGAAATCCCACAACTAACACTCGATTCACACCACCCGAGGTAGATGTTAGGGTTCTAGAGAATCAGGATCTCTCGCAGGACCCAAAGTGTTGTTCTTCTGCTGATAGTAAAAGACTTTGAATCGCTAGGTTGTTTGAGTTTTCTTGAAAGTCTTGTTAAGAGTTATCACAATACTCCTGGCTATGAATGCTTAATGGATATCGGTAACGGCAAGAAGAAAATGATGGTTGCTGTAATTAAAAGCGAAGAGGGCTCCAGCACTACAGGAGTTCGCTGGTTAGCGTCCTAAACGCCGCGGTCCCGGAGCTGTCTGCGGGTATCTGTGCCAGTTTGAATAAGGAGAAAGCAAAATTAGGTGTTGTTGCCCAATACCAAAAGCTAGCAACCTACTCCTCCATAAAACAGACGGACAAAGTGATCGAGGATCGAAACATCAAGGCTCCTGTGAGAAAGAAACCCGGCGAATCTCATCAAAAGTATTTGAGAGGGATGGAAACAACCCTTGAAGAACTCAACCGA